GTTCCGGACATCATCATTGTAGGGTGTTACTATCCCAAAAAGTTAAAAACTGAGCGACAACAAAAGGTCAAACTGCGAGAGAAGCAATGCGCCTATTTTCACGATTCGTGTTCTCGGCGCCATTTTGATTCTCTGGAGACTTTTCNGCACACAATTTCATATTTGGCGCCGAGGCTAATATTTCAGCCCGGGCTGAAATTCGTTATGTAATCGCAACAAAATTTCAGCACCCTAGCCGGGCTGAAATTTCAGCCCGGGCTGAAATTCGCCATGTAATCAGGCCCTAAGTAAGCGAATTTCCCTCCATTTTGTTCCAATAGCAAAAGTTTGTATCTGTGACACGTTTGGGAACATTTCTTGTAATTTAGACAAAAACAAACAAAGAAGAAGCGGAACTTCCAAGCACCTCGTGCAGAGATTTTGAAGAAGGAGCGAAAATTATTTGCAATGCAAATTAAGGGACGCTCCAGGCTGGCTGTCTTTCTCAGTTGGCGGGGCCTTGGCGCGAGGAAAGTTTTTCGAATAATTAAGATTAAGGTGGCTCTGCTCTGATCCCGGGTATCGAATTTTTTCAAACTATACCAAAAGTTGCATCTTATCCTGCTAATCAAAATTTGATAATAAAAAATGGGTTTCACAGTGTCGTTTTTGAAATGTAAATATTTAAAGCTAAAATTAAGGGTGTTTTTAGTAGGTCATACTGTTGCTATGGTATCCTATCGTGTAACGAAAATGATGACAACGTGTTCAACAATGATTGGGCAGGTTTTCGATTCCATCATTGTAGCATTAATTAACTGATAAAGAGTGGTTACGATAACCCACCAAAATGTAAGTCTTGGAAAGTATTGGAAACTGTTTTGAGCCACCAAGAAGCAAGACACCCGGAAATAGTTCGCGTAGACTGTTTTTCGCTTCCTCTGGTATCCTTTGCCAGAATACGCGAACAAATAGAAGTCACAAAAATTAAGCGTCAATGTCATTTTGTGGATCAAATCAGGCCAGATCGAGTCAGATCTAATAATTGTATTCGTAAAAATACCGGAAGAGAAAATGCGCTCCTGTTGACTTTATCTAGCGTTACGCTTGTATTACACTTGCTTGAGGTGGTTTGGAAGTGGATCTCTTCGCACTAAACAGGTGACACGAGGCCGCCCAAAGCAAAGGACCTTTGATTTTTTGTTTTGGAAATGGCGTGTACCAGTCATGTTACATGATGTGAGGAATAAGGTTCTTACACGCGTGTTTTTCCTGTACCCCCTCCCCCTGTGGATTCAACAAGCCAAATGATGTAGTTTCATTGCATTTTATTTCTATTTAGGCGTTTTAAATGTGGCTATGCAGTAAAATAAACAAAACACAACCAATACGACAGTTTCCAAATAAAATCTTGTGCCAGCATTTCATGACATCAATATTGAATGTTCTGCGAAAAACTCATAACCCAAAAGTAAAGAAACGTTTCTTTTATGTTGAGCTTGTTAATTAGATAGAAGCTGGAAAACAAAAAAGACAACAAATACTTGGCGCGTGGACTTTGCGCGGTAATCGCGCGTTCTTCACGCGTTGGTCGCGCGATCACGCCAACTTATCGTACGCGTTAAAATACTTCAACCAACGACCTGAAGACAAATGCAATTTCTCATATGCAGTTTTCTTTCCATAAAATTACAGTTGATAAAGCGTTTTGAATGTACAGACAATTGAGCTAAGGAAAATTTCATTTGTATTTACATCAAATAACTATCCACATCAACTAAGGGCTTGTACAGTTGGTTTTAAAAAAATAGCTTTTAACTCTTGCCAATACAAATTACAGGCAATTCATTACTTAACATTAGCATCATTATTGTCGCAATCAAAAATTACAAATTTTCAGGTATAATGTTCCCGAATAAAGTGATTTCAAGGTATCGAGACACTTCGTAAAATTTCGCCTTTGTGAGAAATAAAAAGTCTGAAGATAACTGAAGGGTTCTACTTGTTCAACGACTGGGGCACCAGGCCTTTTATCGCCAATGAGTAGAGGCCTGGAATTAACATTTCTAACGTTATCAGAGATTCAAAGAAACCCCCTTTGCAAGGTAGACTATCTCATCTGTCTGCGTAGGGCCAAAATATTTTCATAAAATACATGACCTAATCTTTTATCGGGAACAAGAAATTTATCTAATTTTAAGTATTTCAAGAAATTGAATTTCCAACGATTGTATAATGTTGGCTGCACTTCATTGGTCTAAACTGAGGGGTAAGTTATTAAAACAGAGAAAATATGTTCCAAGACAAGGACTTCAGAGTCAAATAACACCTTATTTTACATTGGCTGGTCTGTATATAAGTCTTTTCGCTGGGCGCCACTCTTGTCAAATGCAAGTCTTGACGTTATTAAGAAACTAGTTAAAAGCCATGAAGACAAATCGTTGACTTCTGATACGAGGTCCATAACCAGCAGTGCATTGTGTAGTGAAGCAATCAAGCTTCTCTGTTTGTATTCACGTCATATGAATATCACCCAACCGTCCCGAGCAGTACAACCCTAACCTTGTGAAACAAATAATCGATTCTCTCAACGTCACGTGATAAATTATATCCTCTATGACCAATAGACGCATTCGTCTACGATCTTGTAAATTCGTAAAAAGAAACTCTCCTTCATTCATCAGTTAAATTACAATATAGTTCATTTTACATTTCGAAGCAATTTCAATTTTTCTCTCCGCGTCATCTTCGTCGGGCGGAGCGAAGTTAGTTCAATTCCAAATTCTCTATCAAGCGCTGGAAGATAACTTTGCCGATTGCTTCCTCGCTTCGTCTACAACATCAAACAGATGCTTGGCGTCCACAGCCAACACATGCGCAGCAGAGAGCATTCCTCGGCGGTATTCCTGGTCCAAAGTAGTTGTGCTGTATTTCTGCGCCATTTTCATGGCGTTGATAAGTTCAGCCATGTCGGATGACAACACTTTGTGAGCCATTTCCACCTGAAACGAATATCAAAGAGGATTGCGATTCAGAATCATTTACACGCACGCAGAAAAGTGTAAAGCAGTGTAGCCTGTGAACAGGCTCCCGGCTAGGGCGAAAAAATTAGGCGAGCGAAGCGAGTCGACGAACGCGAAAGCAGTTAGACGAGCAAAGCGAACCGAGCATGGTTTCCTCCTCATTAGCCTCACTGACCTCGCCCTATAACCCAATTGGGACCTGTTCATAGGCTAAAAAAAGAGAGACACGCGGAAAATGATAAATCAAAACATTACCAAATTTTATAACTAAGGTAATATCTAGGGGTACTTCCTACAACGGCCTATAAGGGGAGGGTACCTTTTCCAGCCTTCAAGTACATGAAATAAGTTGAGGTATATGAAAGGGTAAGGAAATCTGTCATTTAGATATAACGTGAGCGGAAACTTTGGTTAACATCTCTTCTGGTAATGCTTGATGTTCTCTCCTCGGGTGCAAAAAAAAAACCTTCAGGAAGAATGAAAAGCTATGATGTCAGTGATTGTCGACTTACGCTGTTCACATACTAATCAATGAACTGGCCAACTAAATGCCGCACTCTTACCTCTTTGTGCGATGAAGGATCTAATCTCTGAATTTCTTCATCAACGCGTGCCAGTAAATCTCTCAGTGAAAGACCGATTGCCTGCAGAAAGCAAAATTATCATTTATACAGAAAGTAAGGCACAGTGACAAAACAGGGGCAAAACAAACAGAGAAAGTCAGTATGTGGATGAAGTAGCTTTTCCGATGAAAATGTCGTCGAAAGCATCGCCCGAGCCTGTAAGGGGCTGTTGCTAAGCAACATTGAGTCTCGTTTTGACAATATGCCGACGTGCAAGGTTCCGGTGTACTCAGGAATAACTGACTAACACCACTGTTGTGTTATTGAAGTGATGCGGGGAAAAGATAAATATTGGCATGGCAGGATAGGGGTTGCGTTTGTTTGCAGATCAAGCAGTGCAACTGCTGTGAAGCAGACGTAAGCATGAGATAAGACAAGAGGAGTGAGATAACAGTAATTTAGGATGGGAGGGAGGGGAAGCCCTCACTGTATCAAGGAATAGCTAATGACCTTTTAGGTTATGTTCACACCTGGTGCCTAAGTACGATTCTCGCCGCGTACTAATGTGAACACCCCTGTTTTGAGAGCATTCACACCAGAATTCGGGCACAGTGCCCGTGCCCCTGCCCGGAAACAAGGTCTCGACCTTGTACACGGACAGTTAATGGTACTTGGCTACTTGGAGTATCCGGTGTCTGAACGCAACACTATTTTGTGTCGGTGCCCAGGTACCAGCGCTAAGGCACCAAGTGTAAACACAGCCTTAGATTGATCAAAAGAAGACATCGGTTTACTGCTTACCTTGACAAACGCTGGGTAGTCTTCAGAACGAGCGAACGGTAGGCCATTATTAAGACCAATCACCGACTGCACCACATGAGTGGTATTGATAAACACACTGTCTGAAGAACGATCTTCTTTTGGATCATCTACTCTCTGCGTTGACAAGGACTACAAAGCAAAGAAGACATGTTCAACAGTACAAAAGCCCTTAGATAATGTGAGATGCACTTCCTGCGATTTTTTGTTTTGTTTTGTTTTGTTTTGGAAATTGCAGTTTTTTTGAACTCGTTCTGTTTGATCAAGTTGGAATTACCACTAAATTCCAGGCAACTTATCCACTGTCAGACCACAAAACGCCACTAGACAACAGTTGACAGTAAACTTAAGAGAGGCCGGTTCGAAACGTGGTTATGGTTCCTTCTGTGACAAAGGCGTATTTGCGAACCGACTTCAGCGACTTACGTTTTGATTGAGAAGTTAAATCAAACACGAAAGACCGTATTTACCCACATTTCCAAACACCTCAAAGTTTGTGATAAGTTAATA